TGAGTGCCACTCGGCGCTCCCCCCCCCTCTCCCCAAGCTGAACTGAGCGTAAATCTGCTTTCCGAAAAAAACACTTGCTTTTGTAAGCATCAACACCTGAAAGCTGCTCACCTCTCGTAGTCAGATTCGACTTGTCTGCGAAAGGTCTTGTGTGAAAGAGGATTTGATATATGATCATTCCCAGCTGGTAGATGTCAGCTTTTACAGATCCACGACTAATTAGACCTTCAGCAATCACGTAGCGAAGTATTTCCGGTGGAAGTTGCAAATATTCTAAATTTGTTTTATTATTTTGATTTGTTTCGCTTCCATTTTGGCAGCCTTCATGTTCAGAAAAATTCTTCAAAGTTCTGGGTCTAGCATCGCATGACCCAGGAAATTTCTACAAGTTTCTTTACAAACTCTCAAAAACGAGACGGGAACTAACTAGGTGGAAGGTTGTCGACGTCGACTCCTTGGAAGCACGAAAGCTCTTTGCGCATCATCTGAATACTTAAATTTAGTGGCGAATGGGTGCACAGTGCTGCCCACTATGCGGAAGTAAATGGACGAGTTTTACGGCAAAACGTGAAGGCGTCCCGGAAAAATGCTATTTCAGTGCTAGCGACTAACCTTGTCCCAAATGATCTCTTGAAGTCCAAAGTCAGTGAGCTTCACGACCCAGTTAGCATCAACAACACAATTTGATAAATGTAACGATCCATGGAACTTTCATAGAACTTCCATGAATATACTGAATACCCTAAAAGATGCAAGAGATTAAGTGAAATCAAGGGGACATTGTAGGGTGCTACAGCGTACAATACAAGCATCTACAAAAGTTGCTCATTATGGGTAACACACAACTCGGATATATCACGCATAGCAGGCGGCGCAGGGCATTAACTTTTCTAAGTATCCTATGTGGCAATTTTGGCGCTGTGCGATGCTAAGAGTAAATAGTGAAGCTCATCAGGGCATCTTCCAATGGAAATGTGACCAAGAATTCAAGAAAGTTTGGAACAAGACGCGCTGCTCCCGTGGTTTCGACGCTTCTCATCATTTTTTCATTGCTATCTTTTGAGACTGCAATGCACTTGAGACGAGATGAAGACATGCATCTTTCTAACAGAATAGCCACCACGTGCACCTAGAAACTCCACCGGTTCAACACGCTTTCACCTAACTTGTCCACTCCTCCTTAATTAAGGTGCGGATAGAAAACACGAGTTGCGGCCGGAGTTAGGGGTGGTACCGCCTGTCGCCCTCCCCGGGCCCTCCCCCCAGTATGTGTACCGGAGTCCATGCAAGCCGCGTGAGGCCTAGTTGCTGCGCGTGGCAGCAAGCTGGATCTAGAAGCTTTATAGCCTCAGGTTATCACATTTCGCTTCGACAGACTTCATACTTCATGGTGACGCGTGTCGATGCGCTCTAACGCGCTGTAATGTGCGTCGCCCGCTTCCATTCAACAACACTGCAATGCTACATATGAGAACGCAGCCTAGACGGATAAGATCGGCACCGGTCGCTTTTGTTTTGGCAGACTACAGGATAACAGGAGGGTAGGCGCTGCCTTCGCACAGCCTGTACCCTCCTATTCTCCTACATTTTGTCGAAAAACTAACCGCCAGTGCCGATAGATAACAGGCAACGGTCAGACTTCGCGACGACGCGCTGTAACGCGCCGTAACGCGCTGCAGTTACACCATCGCTCAAATCTTATAGACGGGGACAGCCTCAAACGGGAATCGATTGGTGCATCTTGCATAAAGAGACATGGGGGGAAATGGAGGTACGCGTTGCCTATTCACGCAGACTGGTATCAATCGGCACTCATGGTCAGCGCTAGTTTCCCCCAGCACGCCGATCGATTCCTGTTCGCTTTCGCTCTAAGATTGGGGCGCTATCGCAAGTGGAGCGTTAAAGCGCGCCGAAGCGCGCCATCGTGGAGTGAACTTTGCCTCAGACTGAGTAGTAAGACAGCACCAACCCTCCTACTATCCTATATTCTCTCGGAACACTAGCGGCCGGTGCCGATCTATACCTATCTGCGGCCATATTCCCGTCTATGGCACTGGAGCGTCTTACAGCGCGCCGACGCGCGTTACAGCTCGTCGACGCGAAGAATGAACGCTGCCTTAAACGAACGTCTCGGTCCAAGCAGTCTTTTGGACTTCTCATTTGAACATCTACACTCACCTTAAGAATGTGCTTGATAAAGGAGCACTGAAAAGTCCGACCAAAATGCCGTTCCTTCTCGAAAAGGATGTAATCAAGGCTATTCCTAGAGCAATAAGTCCATATTACCATCAGCTCTCGACCCTGATTGAATGAGATCCCAACGAATGTGTTCAAATTGCTGTTCGTGAGACTTTTCAGCTGAAAACCATGATCCTAATGTTCTGTTCAGATAAGTGTCAAAATTCAGAGGAAATTCACCTGTTCCAGAAGTTCGATTTCCGCTTTAGTGAAATTCAGTGCCCTCTTTTGAGTGTAGCTTTTGACGAATACCTGAATTGTTTTATAATTACGATTTTACTTGGAATCACTCGATTATCAAAACGAAAGCAAAAGTTCTAAAGGGAAGACGATTCTTAACGGCCCTCAGCCCACTCTCCCGTCCACCCCAAGCTCATATTCACCTTGCTTTTTTTGAGAAATATTCGGCTGCCCGAAAATAAGGACATTTTTCCAGGAAGTATACTGTGCTCCATTGAAACAACCTCATACTCATAAACAACGGAGCAGCTCATAGGCTTCCTACTTTGACCCACATACATTGTAGTTCGCTGCGGACGGTGGGGCGTGTCAGGCAGTATGAGTGTGCCACGGTGAAAAACCCGTTCTCTGCCAGTTGTTGAAGCAGTTACGCGACAACAGTTGTTGGGAAACGAGTGATACGAACGACATGGTACAGTCTTGTCATTTGCTCGCTTTTACAGCTTGTGGAGAACGGGTTTGGCAACCGCGCCAACTATGGCGCCCTGACACGCCCCAATCGTCCGCAGCGAAGAAACACGCATAGTACGCCTTGCGTGTCCTCTATTATCTCTCTGGCGTGATGGAAATGGAGTGCAACCTCAACCCTACCTTCCAGCTCTTTCAAAGCACCACCTCTGACTTTGCTCCCACTTCTCCATCACTGGCAATGTCATGCCGATTCCATTAGTTTTCCTACCATATTCTGAAAAATTGGGAGGTGGAGTTGCCAAACCAAATAATTCCCGGCCTTCCCTTCCACCCGATCAAGATGGGGCGAACCTCAACGAAAGAACTCCCTCAATGATGCTGCGCTCTTATTCGCGACAGCACATCAATCCACCTATGAAGACGACCTCACGAACAACAACATAAGTGCTCCGTAGTAGGAATATCAAGGGATCCACAACTATATACGGCTCCGCCGCTTCTCGTCTAAACACTAACTAAGGAAAGGCTGTTCCCGATTAGAGGAGTCACCCATTCTCGTGAAGCTGACAGCAGATGGAGAGATCATAGCGATGTGGTGGAATTTCTTCTTACTAAATATACCAGCAAGTGAAGCGTGGGAGGTATGGATTCGCTCGACAAACACGGTTTCCAAAAAATTAGTGTAGGGTGCTATAGCGCAATAAGATTCACATGACCCTCCTTTCTCTCAGGAACTCCGCATCCAGACTGTCTTTCATAACAAAACGAAGCTGCACGATGGAAAAAGCATGAAAATCGCACTTTGACGGCTTAAGAGTTCCCACCGGGGAATCATTTGTGGATGGGACGTAGTGTGAAGATGGAGTGAATTGGGCACTACTAACTGAGATCGAAGGGGTCTATCTAGCGTGGCTGGTGAGATTTATCTGCCTTTTTCTCAACTACGGAGTACTCAGCACCTTGTCGTCCTATAAGCGAACTCTAATCAAATCAAATGACGCGCGGTTTTGCCTTTTGAGATCCATGCTCCCTCCCTTCCTCTTAGAATACTGAGTAATCCATATCCCACTGAATATATTGGTTTACTATTGCAACTGCCATCGAATGAAGAGGAAACATACTTTTTGATTATTCAGAAAAGCCAGCGATGTCTTGGAAGACTCTTGGGAATCGATACAATGAGCTGAGAGACCTGCACAGCTGTGAGGAAACTTTCTGTCCCCAGGCAATTACTTTGCTTCCTGTAAAAAACACTTTTCAAGTGAGGGCCTTGAAAGAACACACAATGATTTATAACCGAAAGATGACAATATACACAGTCCGATCTCTTCAGAAATACGCCATATTTAACGTATCTATAGGTAGCTGTCGCAATGGAATCACTCAGTAAGAAATCTCTACGTGATTTGTGCCTCACCCACCACATCACCTCGTATCCTTCAATACGTGGTTGACAGGAACAGCGCTTTTTTGGGCATTTCACTAGTCCTGCTCGCGTAGAAAATCCGCCTGCCTTCACTGTAGCCTTTCAAAGCACACAAGTGTAGTGTGCCTTCAGACTTGCAGACCTCCAAAATAATCCCTGCATTATTTTATACTTCAGTGAGCTGTCAGAAACCGAAAAAACAAGGTTATGCAAAAGTTATTTGTCCATTTCTGTAAATAAAATTATCAGATAATACTAACTTAGGTCATTTTAAGGATCTTGGCTGATAGATTTATCCCAGCCAGCCAACCTGAGCCTCTACATGCAGGGTACAGCATCGATATGCGTGGAATAGCAGTGTCAGCGACGAACCCTCCCCTTCCCTGCTCTAATTGTTTTCTTTGCGAGAAAGATTAGATACGTAACGACTCGCAAGCGCTTGCGGCCGCGTTATGATTCCATGGCAAATTAGCGGTGGAGCAGATCTGTTGGCCGTGTGGAAATCGCGTAGTTTTTTCTGGGGGTGATAGCTTTTCCAGGTTTGGGGCTTTTGAGAAGAGAAGGCGGCATGTTGAAGCAATGTCTCTACTGTTGCGTTTTGTACCACTCGCAATCTGAATCTTCCCCCGTTCGTGAAATATTTCGGATAGGTTACGGACGCGTTAGAGGTGAATCGCGACGGGTTTTTATCTTTAGAGGAGAATAATTTCTTTCAAACGTAATCTTTCCCAAAAATAAAAACGCCTCTCAGAACGCGCAATATTCCCTGCTTCCTAGATGCTCTACAATTCTCTGATGACCGCTAGTTCAGAAGATATTTCAGATGGGTCACCCTTGGGCGACATTCTGAACCACTCAAAAGCTCGACTCCTGTGCCATTGTAAGGATACTCATTCGCGAACTTCAATATGCCTCAAAACACATATTCCCGTTGAACTGAGTCAAAGCATAATTTGGTTATCATCGATCGATTTGGTCCGAGTGTGCGCCGTGCATTACGCTTCTACGCAGAGGTGGTGGAAAGGTGTAACTTCTGATTTTAGGTGATTTTTGTCCATGCAAGCAGATGTTTGTTTAGGGTTTGGAAAGGTCGATACGCACGAATCTGTTTGAGATGTATTATTTAGTCATCTACGTACTTACGAGTCCATGACACTATATTGATAGTGCTGAACAGTTTGTTTTGATATTTTGTATTACATTCTTCCTTACATCGGGGTCCTCTGCAGCTTTCCGTCCGCCCCATCAAACTTAGCGACGACACTTTTGTGCTGTTTGATGGACACCGACCCTGCGTTTACGACCCTACCCTCTCCAGCGGACAAGTACTACCCCCCGCACCCCCTTACCCCCCCCCCCCCCGAGATGGGTTTCACACAACGATGCTGTACCCTGTCTACATGGAGACTGCCCCAGCTTTCGAGCAGTTTACTACATTTAGCTGACATTGCACCTGCGGGACCTGTCCGATATTCTTCTCGGAGGGGCCCGAGGAAGGTGCCCTATATAATGGGCCTATCGAGCCACCAACTTTACGCTCCCGAAGCAGCCCTCCATGCCCGCCGCCCCAACAAAAGGACGCGCCGTATTCCTGACGCTCGTATTCATTCATTTGCTAAGCAAATTATGAAGCGAAGGGATTGGTATGAAGCGGCCGTGATGCTGCATGCATATATGGGTACACATATGCAGCCGTATCTTCGGTAGCGGTGATTGGCAAGATGCCTACGGGAAACTCGTCCGAAATCGATTTTCAAGTCACTGAGAACGGAGGCTTTTTCTTCGCAGGATTTTGACCGTTTCACTCCGTTCTTTCGCCATTTCCCCACTATACAGCGCCCTACTAGCATTTTAGGCTAAGTAGGAAACCATCGTGCCAACTGCCTTTAAACGCGCAACGAAACTGCTTGTTACTAGTGTTCAGTAAGTGCTAGTAAACGTATTCTATACCATTAGATGATGAGAAGGTCTGCGCCGCGCGTGCAACTTCCATTCATAAATGTACAGTCGTATGAACTTGTGACTCGACACAGACGGGCTTATCTTATGCCAACCTCGAGGTCTCTAGTCATTGCCAGAAAGCAACGACTACTATAAAGCCCTCCTAGTAGGTCATGCGTTCACTAGCTTTCCATCCCATTTTCACCTACTAATTGAAAAGTGACCATCACCTATGTTTTTTGGTGTTACAAGGCGACCGCTCACGGAGCACTGGGACGTGGAGGGAAGTCTCGTGTTGAAGAATCGAAACTGCGGTGGACCGTGCTTCATGCAAACTGTTCTGTTCATTGCGTTCTGACAATTTGAAGAAAGCTGATTTTGAAGAAATGGCGTTCGAATGTGTGCCATGATTAGCTTATTCGGATACTTTCTTGTTACGGGAGTACAGTCTTCTTATGTCCCAGTATCTGTTCCCTTCGTCGAAAAGGATGCGAAGGCCGCCTGATTCCCCTGCACCCAATGAAATACTAATATTCTTGAACGAGTGAAATTCAAAGGCCGTTCTGGTCAGATGACCTCTGGTTGACATTGTCTTCCACTAGGTCTGGCCATAACCGACCACAGTAGAAATTCTCAGGCACAGTCTAGTCGAGTAGCTGGCAGGTGTGATCCCTTTTATGTGATGCGATGTGGGCAAGGCCACAGCTA